CCTCCCACCCCACCCCACTCCCCCCGCAACGACTGAAGAAAAACTTAGAAGGAGGCTATTCAGACCAAAAATATTTTATGGATTTTTTACAATACATAGTATACTAGGAAAAAGGTCAAGGTTTCTTCAAAGATGTTGCACAAGCTTTTGATTTAAAGTGTGTGGAATTTATCATTGTATCACATAGCAGAATCCCAGCTGGAAGTTAGATGACTATGACATAGCTGAACTAGTCGTCATCTTCCTTTAGAAAGCATGCTGATTTTCAAAAGGCTACATATAAACTTTCAGACTGTTGTGTAGAGGAATCACTGGTGAAAACTTAGGAACCATTTTACAAAAACATGTTTGTATTTTATATGCACAGGTTCCTTAAATACATTTAAAGGACAGCAAAGCTTTGAGTTTTTCTGATTTTGTTATACCAGGTTAAGTGCAATAACCATTTTATTTTGAAATTGTTTTTGGTAAGAAAGAAATTTAGTCTTATTAGGTGGAATAAAAAAGTCAGTAACTAGAAATGTCACTATTAAACAAGTACCTTGTTTTAATTGCAATGTCACCAAAAGAGTTTAACTGACATTCTAACAAATTAGTGTAATCATATTCAGATACAATTTGCCTGAAAGAGGACAAAAAAGGACAACATGCTACTATTAGAAGTGTTTAGTAACTATTTTAGATTTTAATAAAAAATGAAACAGAAGAGGCTTGAAATCAACATTGCAAATTTTTTTGGTAGCTGAAAAAAAGTCAGTGGTCCATCCTGCGCCAATTCTTTTAAACTTAACTTACAGGAAAAATAACAAAACAAAGCAAAAAATCTGTTGGAAAAGGGCTTTCACTGAGAAAAATTTACTCCTGTGTGTGCCTAACTAAGGATGCCCATGCTCAGATTCTTAGGAGTTACACTTGTGCTTAAGTTTGCTAAATCTTAGTGTCAGATTGCAATTCCTTTTACTTGTGAGTTTGGGATGCTGAAAAAAAATTCATAGTTACATACACAATTAAAGCCTCACTCCTGCTCCCCCTGAAACTGTGACCAAACTCCTCCTGTTGCTTTCAGTAATACTGTTTGCATCATTTACGTTCACTTTAATCCATCACCACTCCATTAAGTTTAAACTCTAGCGGAAGAATTTTTCACTGTTAGTTGACCACCTACTTCTGGGTAAATATTTCTTTTACTTACAGAATAATTTTGGACCCTTACTATAGCTTCTGGTAAATATCTATGATCCTACTTACACTAAATGGTCCAGTTGTGATTTGAGGTAAAATAATGGAACCGCACAGAGTATCTGCAGCCCATTGTTACCACGATTCTCAACAAATTAGGAAACTGCAACACAGTATCACAAATTATAGAAAGCGGCAGAAAGAAATATTCTATGCATTGTATTCATAAAATGCAGTGATTGTAGTGTGATGTTTTTTCCTCTGCTTTGAGCTGGATATGTATGCTTAATACAAATTTCAAATACATACTTCTTCATTTATACAGGTGTCTATATAAATATTTACATTTTAGTTTTTGTTAAAACCTATCTTTGTACTCATGGCCAAGCTTATTACTGTGTGTAGGAACATAACTCATCTTCTGTCCCTTAATGAGCTCTCTTTTTTTGATTTAGTAGTTAAACATTCCTCTGTAGTTAGAATTACAAACATTTGTACAAATAGTGGAAACAAAATTATGAAACTTGTCTGACATCCATTCAATCTTAGTTCATAATATAAACAGTACCATTTGCATTATGATGGCTGTTAATACAATGACTTCAGCTACTGAAGTATCTATAGTAAGTTAGTCTTTGGGACATTATATAAAGCAAAGTACCCCCCTCCCCCAATTTTCCTTAGAAACTTATAATTAAATGGCTGAAAGCAGGCTTGCTGCTACTTTTTATATAAAATCTTAGTAATAATATTGCTGACTTCAGATTCTATTTTAATTTGCACAAGTTCCATATAACAACAAAACAATTCTATGTTCCCTTAAAATATCAAACATTCGTATCCAATAACATCAGGATTACTCAAACTTGAGGTTTATTTGTTATTGCTAAAGGTTTCTAAGACCTAAGTCAATACAGCAAGACACTCTATCCACTTCCTCCCTAACTGCAAGTGCATGGCAACTATTTATATGGAGCTTGTGTGTGTGTGGGTTTCTTTAAAAAAAAAAAATGAATGAAGTTGGTTACAGTATTTCACTACTATAAACTCACAGTTAGAATCCAAATTGTTGTTGCTCTTTCATTTAATATATAACTTTATATATAATACACACGCACACACCAACATCACAGGATGAAGATCCATGCATACAATCCAGATGTGATCGTATTTCAGTGTTAAATGAAATAAAAATTATTCTGTTACTATTAGATCCCAGACCACAGTATTTTAAATTACTCTGCTTTCTACCTTCTATACCAAGTTAATTTACCTTAATCTCCAAATCCAAGCAGCATCACAAATTTCAAATTTTTTGTCGTTGTCGTCATTTTGATCCTTTTAGATTTCTAGTTTATACGGCATACATCTGAGATCCTGAACACAGCCTCCACTGAACCAGCTTTTTAAGGTATCTGTTAAAGCTAATTGTGTGTCTGTTCATGGCTCCAAAGACTAAAAGCTGTCTTGAAAGTCCTATGACAGAGTTTACACATGTATTGTCTTTTGAATGTGATTGCTGAGAGTGGTGGAGCATGATAGAAGAGTGTATCTGACTCCTGTGGTACAAACAATTTTTCAGTAGTAGTGGAGCTTTCAGACACACCAGTTGGACTATCAGGCTCCAAAGGCTGGATTTTGGGGAGGGGTGGGGGTGGAGGTAAGGGTGGTGGTGATGGGGAATTAGCTGGTGGACATATCTCAGGCTCCTTATTTGTGGACTCCTCTGCAGCCTGTGACATATGAGACTGGAAGTGACTCCACAGACGGAAATTGGTTCGGAAGGCCTTGTTACACACGTGACAAATAAATGGCTTCACAGAGCATAAGAGCTCTTGGTGACGCTCCAGCTGTTTGCGTACAGTGAAAATCTTCCCACACTTTTCACAGGGCCACAAACCAGCATCTTTGTTGGAGACTACTTCTTTAGGTTCTCTGCTCGTTTCAGTGACCTCGTCCTCTATATCGTCTGCAGGCTCTTCTTTGATCTGAATTTTAAACTGCTTGGAAACACTTAAGTCTTCAGGTAGGCATGAGGAATCTTCGGAATCAAAATTTATTTGTTCTGACGAATCACTGAATACACCGTCTTCCTTTGCAGCAACAAAATTGTTCATTTTATTGGATTCTGACTGAGGAGGCAATCTTGACGAACTAGTTATTTCTCCATTGTGATCCAGGATAGGTAAAGAAAAGTTCTCTGATGGAGCCATTGTGTTTTGATTGTGAACTTCAACTTGATGACGCCAGATACTAAAGGATGATTTAAAGGTACGCATGCACTCGAGACAGGTAAGCTTCTTGTATTCACACTTGCTTTCGTGCTCATGCTTCAGCTCTGGAGAAGAAAATCTAAGGCTGCAGTATGGACAGACAGTAGCATTTCTACAGAGTCGCTCATGATTTCCCTGTTCAATAAGAGAAGAGAGCTTAGCATTGCAGAGACGGCACTGATAAACCTCTTTGCTTTCTACTGGACTTTCAATATGAATATGGTCTTTCTGCTTAGGAGCCTTATTTCCTCCAATTGGTTTCTCCCCTGGGTGCATTTTTATGTGCTGTTTGAATTGTGAGAGGAAACGATAAGCTTTCCCACAGTAGGTACAAATATAGACTCCCTTGGTTCTTGATCTTAAATTCCTTTTGATGACTTGTTGTGCTTGTGAAGCAGACTGTCCCTGAAAGCCTTGCTTGCCACGTCTTAGTTTAACGATTAAAGCTTTTTTAATTTCTCTCTCTCTCACTATATCGATCAGTTTTCTTTGGAATTTTTCATCCAAAACAGCATGTGAACTGGAAGCAGGTGAGGGATTCTTCACAATTCCATGTTGGGTCTGGCAGTGCGTCCACACTTTGAAATTTGTGTGAAATCTCTTGTGGCATATGTCACAAGCATAGGGCTTCTCTGGATTATGATACATGTTAACATGACGATGAAGACCTGCTGTTGATCTGAAAATTTTAAGGCAGTGCTTGCATTTAAATTTTTTATTTGGTCTTGCTTCTTCCATCTCACTGTATTCGTCTTTACTGACATCAGAATCGGGAAAATCAGCATCAAGGTGCGTAGGGCTTGAGCCTTCCTCAAAGTTATCTTCTGACCCAGGAGAACCCTCCTCATCCGCCTTCAGTTTCTTAAATGGTAGTCTTCTGTCAGCTTGAAATCTCCTTTTTGCTGGAAGTCTACTTGGTTCCTTATGATCATCCTCGGTTTTAAAAGGAAAGTCTTTATTTGTCGATGCTGAAGCATCACCCACTGTAACTCTAATTATTTCGGCAGGATCTGAAAGTGGACTGCTAGGTTCAGTTTTTATTCGCACCTCTGTGAGAGGGGAAGCAACCTCCCTATCAGTTGACTGAGAGGCACTGAAAGACCTAAGGCGATGTGGGTGTATTACCTGTGGTTTTTCATCTAAGACTAACTTCTCTGATGACCCTTTCAAGGATGACTTTTGAGATACAACATTAAATGTCTTCTGGGAATCATTAGTTCCTGGTGAGGAGGATGATGATACTTGTGAAGGTTTTAGGTCAACAGAAGGTGAGTAAATAGGGACCTGGCTGTCCATGGACAGTGACCTTCGCAGGAGACTTTTTACAAGTGGCCCACTTCTGTCAATACTTTGGTGTTCTGGACCAGATCCGCTAGATGGGATTACTAACCCTAACTTTGAGTAGTACAGCAAATTCCTGTCTTCACCTTGGCCATTTCCTTTTCCTGCCTCTCGCAACAAAAATGTAGATTCTGATGCACCACGCAGAGACAAGACTGGTGGACGCAGTCTTTTTAATGGCAACTCTGCGGCCTTTCCTCTTAAAAGCTGACCACTGCTTCCTGGTTCATCGCTTGCAATTTCTTTCTCTGCTAAAGGCATTTGAGGCAGTACTGTGTTCCTTTTCACTAGACCACCTCTGCTCTGATCCTCCACAGTTCCAGAAGTTTCATGAAGCTTCGTATAGCTCACAGGGCTTTCTTTCAGCCATCTCCTTTCAGTCAGTGATAAATTGTGAAGGGTTTCAGTTGGTTTTGTTACCTGTGGTCTACTGCTAGTTTTGACAGCAGCAGAGGGTGAAGGTTTAGAAGTATGGCTTAAATCATGTTGTGTTTGATTTACACTTTTTGCTTGCGCTTCAATTCTGTTCTGACAGACAATGACACTTCTCTTCTGAGAATTACTTTCATCTTCATCTTGATACAGTATTTTCTTAATAGGGCAAGCTGGAAAAGGAGCTTGAGGACTCTTAGAAACAATGTTTGTAAGAAAGGATATTCCAAGACTGTAGCCCAGTTCTTGCACAGCTGCAAGACTGCCTTTCTCAATGAACAAGGATGAAGAATAAATGTAGTTTAACACATTATCAAAAGCATCTGGTTCACAAAAGTCGAGTTGAAACACTGACTGAGACTCATTCTCCTTATTTGTGAACAGAGTCTGGAAGTATTCACTGCTGGCAGCCAGAACATTTTTATGAGCTCGAAATTTCTGATCTCCTACTATAAGAACAACATCACACAGCTGTCCCTTTAGACGCTCCTCATTCAGTGCGCTTAGAAGTGAAATGGCATGTGCTGGATTTATGTAATGCAAGAGCCCCTCCATGATTCTGATGTTTCTGAAAAAGAAAAACAACAACAAAAAAAGTTGTAGGTTGCCTTATGTGAACTGTTGTTAGAGAGAAAGTAAACACACCAAATCCCTCTGTATTTCATAAACTGGCTAAACCACCAACAACAGTGCTGAAGAAAACAGCTTGTTTGGAGGAAAGGTATGGGAATAAAGCCAATACTGTTAGCTCCAACAGATGTGCAAGCATGAGAAGAACCAGCTCACGTGCCCGCTTTCAAATACGCTGTTAATAGCCAATCTTACACCAAGAATATTACACCTAACTAATTAGGGAGTAGGGGGGCTGTGTCCTCTACCTGCAATACACCTGTCCACATGAAGGAAGAGTTCAATCATTCCACTCTTGATCATCTTTTTCTCCACTTCAGCTTTATGAAGATCTATCTTGACAACTCCATTGATAAACTCTTGAATCAGGTATCGTAAAGCTTAGTTATGCCAAGTCACCTTTTTGAGGCTAAGCAACCCTGACAATCTCCTGCTGACTAAACAAATTAATGGGGTTTTGTTGTCATTTCTAATAGGATGATGGAAAGGTCATTACTACTGGGAAGGGAGAAGGAAGCGGGATTATTGTCTGTAATCTAGATTAATTCATCATGTTTGCTTATGTTTAGTAAGTGTTGTTAATAGCTATCAAATATGTTAATAGCTATCAAATATGTGCCACTCATAACTGCACTGACAGGATCTGGTTTCTTGGGAATTCCACAGTTACGACTAAAGTATCCCTGCATTGCTTTCTCCTAGCTTAAAAGCAATCAGAGAACTGAACTCCCCATTTTATTCATTAGTATAAGAGCACCTTATGCCCGCAACCCCTATACTTGAGGAACAGTTACCCTCAGGTGCATCCCAGAGTACAATAAGCACAAATTAAACTTGCAGTGAAGAAATCCCCATGTTCCCTATGCTTCAAAACACAGCCCACTCCATACTGCAGGATGTCTCAGTAACTCAATAGACTGCTCCTGATTAGATCTTAACAAAAGAAGAGAACCAGGTTTTAAGTCAGTTTAAACAAAGAACTTCTGTGGCATGAATTTTGATTTATATATCTGTGCACGTGCACACACACAGAGAAATCAGCAATATCCAATTTTCTTTTTTTTTCATGGACACTCTCACAATTCTGTTCAAGTTAACCTGTAAGAATTACACACCACCTTCCCCTACAGTGGTAGTAAAACAAGTCAATGATGTTTCTGTTAAAAGCAATTCTCTTCTTTTTTCACCTGAGTTGAGAAACTACTCTTTAGGTATTTATAAGTGATGTATGCTATGTATTCATCAGCTTACAAGCAAAACTGAAAAGTTTATTGAAATAAAAAACAATATTAAGAGGCTGTAACTCTGTGATTTGTAAATGGGAATGGTAAATCTTACAACTAATGGATATAAATAACTGATCAAAGTCTAAATTGGTATTATTAAAAAATGAATCAAAGGGTGCCACACACAGTGTCTCAGGGCATTGATCATATCATAGGACTGAGCTACCACTTCTATACCTGAAACTACTAAATGAGTTAATAGTGTCATGGCAACAGCAAAGGCAGAATTAATTTTCTTCACCAGATCTGTCTCTTTACTCAGTGTTTCAGTGTCGTGCAGTATCATTTCATACACACTAATTTATCCTTAATTCACCTCAGATGGTTATAATGCATAATTTCCCCCCCCTCATCTAAAAAAAGCAGAGCAGTCAAGCTGCTATGAATTTCATAAACCAATCTGTTTTGTTTTGCTTTGCATGTTTTGCTTAAAAGTACTGTATGGGAGGCTGTGCACTACCTGCCTTCTTTGGATGCCACTGCAATTTAAAGTGGTGGAGTCTGACTGGCCCTAATCCAGTCTTGTGGTCTGAGCACCCATTAACACTTGGAGTGTTATTAAAACAAGTGTTCCAGGAATGCATCTTTTGCTTTAGTTTCATCTGAAAGAAATTGAGTTTGCAAACTCAAGTGATTCATCTGGGCTGAAAGCTGCAGCATGGTATATGGAGGTAACAGATCGACAGTGTATTTATGAAGGAAACTTGAACTAAAACAGTATTGTAGAGAAATAAGTGTTTTGAAGTATTTTCAAATCTTTCTCTTTAATCTGCTTTACGCGGGCCTTGGGTCTTGTGTAAGACACTTGCAAAATAAACACCATGTAATTACTATGTGTTCCTTTGTCCATCCTAACGCAGTAATGCTATTAGTAGAGACGGGTGAAAAATCTACACGTCTAAAGCCGAATCCAATAGTCACCCATCCTTCTTTCCACATTCTCCTTTTTCATTCATAGAGCACCTTCAATTTATTACATTAAACAAGACAGAGACAGGCATCCTATTACAATCCCCCCTTTCATTCTCAGAGCACGGTCTCTTCTGTGCAGTGAAGGAGGCAGAGCTCTTTGGTGCAATGTAACCCTGTCACTTTAACAGTAACCAAGGCTACACAAATGGCAAGGGACCAAATTAATCCTGCAAAGGCAGCTTTAATCCTGGTATTTCCTAATTCAAGTGCTTGACTTTCAGCTTAATAGCCTTTAAACACAACAGGCAGAAATAAACCAAGCTCTGATATATTAAGAAACAAAGCCAGAACTGGTTTGAAGAACCATTTTAACACATTTACACAGATCACCTGAAAGCCTGGAATACTTAGATGTAAAAAAAAAACCCCAAAGATTACAAAAGTAAACATACAACGTATTAAAATTTCACTGCATGAAGACTTTTCAGTAAGAAACTTGATCCAAGAATTCCTGCTCTCTTTTCGTTCATCTTAGCTGCACACTGCAGTTTACTCCTCCCTCAGCTGTGCCAGTACAAGTATTTGCAGGCCTGTATTACACAGCAGATCAGACAATAAATAAAAAACAAATAATATTTCTTTTCAACTGCTGGTCAATTTTTATATTAAAGCACAATCTCAGGAATGAATGTTATTGGCATAACTGAAAAGGCAGCAAACTGTGGCAGCAGAGCAGCTGTAGGAAGGCAACAACTTCCGACAACATTTCGCCATCAGAGCTGATGCTTGGCTGACTGACCTCAGCCCTGACACAAAAGGTGTGCCTAGCTAATGTGTGGACACCAGAACTGTGGATGTCTCCTGTAATAATAGAATTGATTCCAGGTGTTTGAGGACTCATACTTCCAAGGTGATTTTGCCACTAACTACTCAAATTCTTTCCTCCAGATTATCTGCTTCTGTTCTCTCCAAACATTTCTTTCCATCTGTCTTCACTACTGACTGGAAACAAAGCTGTTCCCTCTTTTCTTCCGTGATGTTCAGGTGACATCAAGGGAACAGTAGGAGCATATCAGAAGAACTCCCATTGTCTGTGTCCAGGTGTTACATGCTATAGTGGCCGCTGGTCCTCAGGAGGAGCAAGACTCCAGACCCAGGAAGGGCAAGTGCAGCAGGAGCACCCGAAGCCTTCCTTTGGGAAGCCAGGAAGATATTTTAGTGTCAATCTTCAACAGCCCTCTACTGATCTCAGCAAACTAGATTTCAGAGACGTAAGTACCATATTTGGCACAAGATTTATTTACTGGGGTTTTTTTTGAACAAGGATAGAAAAAAAGACACCTCTACTATTTCAAAATGACTTTCTGCAAGGAGATCTCTATTCAGGAAAAGCTTTTCACAAGGAAAGGGTGAAAAGGCTTAATCTTTAGCCCCGCAGTTTATGGATCTTCAACAGCCACCTGCCTTTGAAGTGGTAGTTCCCCTTCCTTTCCTCTCCCTTGCTCTCACATGTCCTCCTCCCAGCCCTGTGGTACCCTCCTTCCTCCTTTCACCAGCTTTGCTGCTCATTTGACCTCTCAGTAAATTGATTCAGCTCCATAAATGAAGCAGGAAACAAACCAACAAAATCAACCCAGCTTTTTACATGTTTGCTATTTTATAGGTTAGGAGCTTAATCAGCTCACTGAGAGGTCAGATACGCATCAAAGTTGCAGCAAGAGAAGCCATGAAATTACCCATTCTTTGCCAAAGTTGTTCAGTCAGCTTCACCCATCTGAAACTTCACTTTCAGAAACCATGAAGTCAGCAATGCTGAAACTTTACAAATAGAATCAGGCAGATATTTGTGTGAACAATTTCAGCATGAGAGCTTACACTCGCAAATGCGCAAGCAACTAAAATAAGATGTTGGTGTGGCTTGCTGACTGCCATTAGAACGACATAGCTGTCAGCTAAAGCTATGTTAATAGCGTGTTGGGGGTGGCAGTGGGAAAGATGGTGTTCTGAAACACTTAATGAGATGCAGTGCTGCAGCAAGGAGGCGCCAGGGCGGTGAGAAACTGCAGTTAGAACCAGAGAGTGCAAGGAAGGAGAAGGAAACACACACAGGGGAGGACAGGCAATGAGGGAGACTTAACAGGGGTTTCGACAGGGAAAACATATGTAAGAACTGTGGTAGGGGCAAACCCACTAGAAAATCCAAGGAAACGTGGATTATAAAACTCAGCCAAGAGGTACAAATTACTTCCCGGGACATCCCCAGGTAAATGCAGGAATGTTGCATTCAGTTGTAAGCACTTTGCAAAAGATTTGATGGCTTTGCCAATTCATGTGCTGTTTCAGACACAACGGGGAAAAAGCCCGGTTACTTGTCAACAGTCCAGTTGCAAAAGAAACCCAAACTGCTTAAAATTCTACTCAAGGATCCTATGCTGAATCTTATTATTTGAGTTCGACAACAGTTTGTCGAATGCCCTTTTTCCCATGCCTTTGCAACATAGATATTCTCCTACAGTCTCTATACATTTACACACACATACCCCTGCATGTCCTCAAAAGCTATATGTAAAAGCTCCAAACCTGCAGAGCAAGATTGCTTGCACTTCTATAACCTTTTTCTAACTAAATATTTGAGTCATCTCTTGCTGCAAGTTTGGGGATTCTGTCTTCCTGGATTTAAAAAAATGTGATTTCAACTGTGTCGTGGTTTAACCCAGCAGGCAGCTGAACACCACCCAGTCACTCACTCACAGCCCCCCAGTGGGATGGGGGAGACAATCAGAAAAAAGATAAAACTTGTGAGTTGATATAAAGATGATTTAATAGGATAGAAAAAAAAAGGAAAATAATAATAATGATGAAAGAATATACAAAACAAGTGATGCACAGTGCAATTGCTCACCAGCCGCTGACCGATGCCCAGACAGTTCCCAGGCAGCGGCCACAGCCCCTGCCTCCAGCAAACTACCCCAGTTTTTTGTTCAGCATGACATCATATGGTCTGAGATACCCCTCTGGCCAGTTTGGGTCAGTTGTCCCAGCCATGTTGTGTCCCCCCCCAGCTTCTTGTGCACCTCTAGCCTCCTTGGGTGGCAGGGCAGCATGAGAGGCTGAGAAGTCCTTGAGTTAGTGTAAGTACTGCTCAGCAACAGCAAAAACATCAGTGCGTTAGCAACATTCTCCTCATCCTAAACACAAAAGAGAGCAGTATGCCAGCTGCTAGGAAGAAAATTAACTCTATCCCAGCCAAAACCAGGACAGTATCCACCCCTTATTTTATACCATCTACATCATGCCCAGATCCCACATTTTCTAATACATCCCAATTAATCACCACCACTCTTCCTGTCTTTTGATATATACACACAGATACCGTTCCCTTAGTCTATGGACCATCCCTCTAAAATGTCCCCTGCATTCATTTAGTCCATGACTTTGGGCTCCATCTGTCATAAGTTTTTCAGGGCAGGAGAGATGGTGTGTGGTGTTGGATTGTTGCATGCTGAAGTTGGTTCTGGTTCCTTCACTGCTGCGCTTGACTGGTTCTATCATCACTGCCCTTTGCTCAGTTTCATCAAAACTCATTCTTCATTAATTTGGGTGATTCTTACCGCAATACCCTTGATATGGCATATAGCAACCCTAGTAGTAATGACATACAGTATTATATATCAATTAACATCATACAATCCAAATAATTGGCTATTCTCACCCCAAATCAAATCCCCATGAGGTACACTTTGGACTTCCCCATCCTTCCGCATCACCCACCAAGTGCACCCAGGTCCTTAAGCAAAAGCAATCCCACAAATGGGTTTGCCTTTGCCCAAGGCAGCAGTAACCCAGTCTGTCTTCCCCAGCACATTATGTGCACTTCAGGGACTTTATGCTCTTCTACAGGACATAAAAGTTTTGACTGGGCAGGGCCAGCTCGACTGGCAGATTCCCTAGAGTTGACTGACCAGGTGGCTTTTGTTAAATGCATATCCCAATGTTTGAATGTCCCACCACCCATTGCTCTCAGGGTAGCCTTTAACAGTCCATCGTATCACTTAATTTTCCCAGAGGCTGGTGCATGATAGGGGATGTGATATTACCCACTACTCAATGCCATGCTCTTTGGCCCACATGTCTATGAGGTTGTTTCAGAAATGAGTCCCGCTGTCTCACTCAATTCTTTCTGGGGTGCCATGTCGCCATAGGACTTGCTTCTCAAGGCTCAGGATAGTGTTCTGGGAGGTGGCATGGGATATGTTTCCAGCCGTATGGTGTTTGCTTCCACCATGGTGAGCACATAGCACTTCCCTTGGCAGGTTTGTGGGAGTATGATATAATCAATCTGCCAGGCCTCCCCATATTTATATTTCAGCCACCGTCCTCCATACCAGAAAGGCTTTAACAGTTTGGCTTGCTGGACTGCAGCGCATGTTTTACATTCATGAATAACCTGTGCAATAGTGTCCATGGCCAAGTCCACCCCTCGATCACAAGCCCACCTGTATGTTGCATCTCTTCCTTGATGGCCTGAAGTGTCATGGGCCCACCAAGCTATAAATAATTCACCTTTGTGTTGCCAGTCCAGACTCACCTGATCCACTTCAATCTTAGCAGCCTGATCCACTTGCTGGTGTTTCGATGTTCTTCAGTGGCTCGACTCTTAGGTACGTGAGCATCTACGTGACATACTTTTACAACCAGGTTCTCTACCTGGGCAGCAATACCTTGCCACAATGCAGCAGCCCAGATGGATTTACCTCTGTGCTGACAGCTGTTCTGCTTCCATTGCTGCAAACACCCCCACAGAGCACTTGCCACCATCCATGAGTCAGTATAGAGATAGAGCACTGACCACTTTTCTCAGTCAGCAATACCTAAAGCCAGCTGGATGGCCTTCACTTCTGCAAATTGGCTCGGTTCACCTTCTCCTTCAGCAGTTTCTGCAACTTGTATAGGACTCCGTACAACAGCCTTCCACCTCCAATGCTTCCCCACAAGGCGACAGAACCCATCAGTGAGCAGGGCATACTGCTTCTAGTTTTCAGGTAGTTTATTACACAGCGGGACCTCTTCAGCATGCACTACCTCCTCCTCTGGCAATATTCTGAAATCTTTGCCTTCTGGCCAGACCATGATCACTTTCAGGATTCCTGAGCTATGTAGCATCAGTTGCATGATGTGTAGAGGGGACCTTCCCTTTGAACATGCAGCCCAGCACCGTCAGTCGGGGTGCCAGGAAGAGCTGTACTTCAGTACCAATCACTTCTGAAGCAGCTCAAACTCCTTCATATACTGCCAGTATCTCTTTCTCAGTTGGAGTACAGCGGGCCTCGGATCCTCTGCATCCCCGACTCCAAAGCCCTAGGCGTTGGCCTCGAGTCTCCCCTGGTGCATTCTGCCAGAGGCTCCAGGTAAGGCCATTTTCCTGGCTGTGCTGTAGAGCACATTTTTTGCATCTTGCCCTGCCCAAACTGGCCCAAGGGCTACTGCATGAACTATCTCCAGTTTAATTTGTTCAAAGGTCGTTGCTCAGGGCCCCATTTGAAATTGTTTTACTTCCGGGTCACTTGGTAAAATGGGCTTATGATCAGGCTGTAATTTGGCATATTCTCCAAAAACCCGTAACACCCAAGAAAGCTTATGTTTCTTTTTGCTAGTTGGTCAAGACATGACTGTTATTTTGTTGATCACATCCATTGGGATCTGACAACGCTCATCTTGCCATTTTATTCCTAAAAACTGGATCTCCTGTGCAGGTCCCTTGACATTATTTTGTCTTATGGCAAAATCAGCCTTCAGAAGGGTTTGGACTATTTTCTTCCCTTTCTCAAAAACTGCTTCTGCTGTGTTGCCCCATACGATGATGTCATCAGTGTATTGCAGGTGTTCGGAGCTTCACACTGTTCCAGCGCAGTCTGGATCAGTCCATGGCAAACAGTAGGGCTGTGTTTCCACCCCTGGGGCAGCCGATTCCAGGTGTGCTGGACACCCCTCCAACTGAAAGCAAACTGTGGCCTGCACTCTGCTGCCAAAAGGACTGAGAAAAACGCATTAGCGATATCAGTTGTGGCATGCCACTTGGTTGCCTTTGACTCCAGTTTGTATTGAAGTTCTAGCATGTCTGGCATGGCAGCACTCAGCAGCGGCATGACTTCGTTCAGGCCATGACAGTCTATTGTTAGTCTCCACTCTCCATTACACTTCCACACTGGCCATATGGGACTGTTAAAGGGTGAGCGAGTCTTGCTGATCACTCCTTGGCCCTCCAGTTGGACGAATCAGCTTATGGATGGGAATCAGGGAGTCTCGGCTGGTGGGATATTGCCACCAGTGCACCGCTGTGGTAGTGATCAGCACCTGTTGTTTTTTCACCCTCAGCAATCCCACGACAAAAGGGTCCTCCAAAAGACCCAGCAAGGTAGGCAGCTGCTTAATTTCCTCTGCCTCCAAGGCAGCTACTCCAAAATCCCACTGGTTCCCTTTGGGGTCCTTGAAATACCCTCTCCTGAGGTAGTCTATGCCAACGATGCATAGAGCCTCGGGGCTAGTCACAATGGGGTGCTTTTACCACTCATTCCCAGTTAGGGTCACTTTGGCCTCTAATACAGTCAGCTGTTGGGATCCCCCTGTCACTTCAGAAATACAGATGGGACCTGCCCCTGTATGGCTTGATGGCATTACGGTACACTGTGCACCAGTGTCCACTAGAGCTTTATACTTCTGTGGGTCTGATGTGCCAGGCCATCGAATCCACACAGTCCAGTAAACCCAGTTGTCCCTTTCCTCCACCTGGCTGAAGGCAGGGCCCTGCTAGTCCTGGTCACAGTATTTGTTACTCACTACTTGTAAATACGAATCAGAAGTCCCTTTGTTAAGATCAGAAGTAAGATCAGCTCTTCTATTCTGTCTGGGGAACTGCCCACTGGAAACTGGAGCAGCAATTTTCCTGGAAGAACCCCCTTTTGTGATTGTTTTTCCTTTTAACTCACATACCTGTGCCTCCAAGGCCGAGGTAGGTTTTCCATCCCACTTCCTCATATCCTTTGGTGGTCATGCAGGTAAAACCACAGGGTGGCCAGTGCTATGTACCTTCTATATCTTCTCTCTTGAGCAGAGGAACACTTATTCCTAATAGCTGAGATACCGGTCTGTACAGGTGGGGAGTAGGGCATATCTTCTTTGAATTGCTGGAACTGCTGGCACAGTTTCTCCAAGGCTGAGACGCAGGCCTATAGGGAGGAAGAGAGACTTTCTTCATATTCCCAGAGTTGGACAATTCATCCACCACTGGTTCCTCTCCATCTTTCCAGGTCATGACTGCCAATGAGTTGGCATACGATGACGATGTGCTCCATACAAACTTCCGCCACATGGGTCGTGTGCACTTGGCTTCATCTGGATCTTTGGATAACTGCTCATTGTCCAGGCCACTATAAATCACCTCTAGCACAGCTAATTCCTTCAGGTACTGGATACCTCTCTCCATGGTGGCCCGCTTGCCTGGGTGACATACAACATTTTCCTTGATGGGATACCTTTCCTTTATGCCTGACAGGAGCCACCTCTAGAGGCTGAGGGCTTGTGCCCCTTTTCCAACTGCTTTGTCAATGCCCCCTTCCCTAGAAAGGGATCCCAGCTGCTTGGCTTTCCTACCCTCTAATTCTAGCCTACTGGCCCCATTATCCCAGCATCAGAGCAGCCAGGAGACAATGTATTCACCTGGATGATGGCTGAAATCTTTTCACATATCTCGCAGCTCACGCAGGAATAGGGATCATGTGGTTACCGCCTCATTTAGGAGTTCTGCCTCTTCCTCCTCTTCCCGTGATGGCCCTGCTTCAGAGTAGCCTGCCTCATCCATTTATTCCTGCTTCCCCTTCCTAATAGGAGTTTCTTCCGTTACTAAATGAGCTGACTTTCTCATCTGGTATTTCTTCTTGTGTATAGGGGCAACTGATACCAGCAGGGCTGGTTCTCTGGTACTGCTGCAGTGCCTGTTGCTGGGCTTGGAGTCGCTGTTGCTTTGTTCACCTGTTGTTTTGTCCTCAGATCCAGAGACTTTCTCTTCCCCTTGAGGGTACTGAACAGTGTTGAACAAGGCTCGGTAGGCATGGGCCAGGCTCCAGCATGTTGCAGTGATTTGCGTCTCCTCTGGAACTGCCAGGGTGACAGCATACTGTCCCCAAATATTTTACTAGTTTTTCAGGATTCTGCACTTGTTTGGGGGTGAAGTTCCAAAACACTGGAGGTGCCCAATGTCCTAGGCACTTGCCTCTACTATCCCACACCCCCTGCCACTCATAACTATCCAGCCTCGGGGCAGATCTCTGGGTGGTATTCTTAAATAGTTGTTTAACCTTAAACAAGACCGGAAACACATTCAGAGACATAGCAATAGGAACATGCTGGTTTGAGCATCCTAAGGATATTCAAAATTCTCAAGAGCTATTGTAACTAGCCTGCAGGAGAAGGAGAAGGTGAAGGAGCAGGGGAAAGTGTTTCCCCTTGTCTCCCCCATAGATTAGCTCTAAAAGGAGAGACGGTAAAGAGTGTAATTATTAATAGTTTCTGAGAGATGGTTCCCGAAGTACAGAGATGACAGCAATGCGAAGTACAAATACCAGATTAGTCTCACAACCAGTAATTTTATCGTATCATAAGCCAGCGTTACCCAGTACAGCAAAATTATAACCTTAATCCAGCCCCCAGAGGTGATAAAACAGCACAACAGGGAACACACACTGCAAGCGAGGTGTTACATAACCCAGCTCTGAGAACAAGCACAATTGCTCTGAGCGCAAATAAACCAACATTGCAACCAGTGACTATTAATCTAGCGATGAATGCTTGTAACAAATTTTTTTTAACACGCTCTGGTCAGATCTGTCACTATCTCAATCCTTTGAGCCCCATGTTGGGCACCAAAAAGGACTGTTGTGGTTTAACCCAACAGGCAGCTGAACACCATCCAGCCACTCGCTCACAGCCCCCGAGTGGGATGGGGGAGAGAATCGGAAAAAAGATAAAACTCATGGGTGGAAATAAAGATGATTTAATAGGACAGAAAAAGAAGGGAAACTAATAATAATGATGAAAGAATACACAAAACAAGTGATGCACAGTGTAATTGCTCACCAGCCGCTGACCGATGCCCAGACAGTTCCCAAGCAGCAGCCACAGCCCCTGTCCCCAGCCAACTCCCCCCAGTTTTTTGTTCAGCATGACATCATAAGGTCTGGGATACCCCTTTGGCTAGTTTGGGTCAGTTGTCCCGGTTGTGTCGTGTCCCCCCCAGCTTCTTGTGCACCTCCAGCCTCCTTAGTGGCAGGGCAGCATGAGAAGCTGAGAAGTCCTTGACTTAGTGTAAGCGCTGCTCAGCAACACCAAAAACATCAGTGTGTTAGCAACATTCTCCTCATCCTAAATCCAAAATGCAGCACTATGCCAGCTGTTAGGAAGAAAATTAACTCTATCCCAGCTGAAACCAGGACAAACTGCTATTGCTGTTTTCCACTGCAGACAATACTGCAAACTTTCTCTGTGAAGATGAATGTTTTCCATTTCTAATAGTTCAGCAGCAAGGAGAGACTCACTGGTATGAGGACAGGCATAAAATCAGATAAATTATATATTTGCTAGTGTGTGAAATTGATGTATTAATTTCTAACTAACCTCCACACATACAGAAGCAGAAATTTAGGGAGAAGAAAAGAAGAAATTCTATAATATTGTGCAGTCTGTCTATTTAGCCCTCCACTAGAGACAAATAATTAGCAGTTATCCTGACACAGACTAGAAATTCCCTTAGAAATTAGAAGCTACTTTTCACATTCAGATCATACCCATAGTTTCACCAATTGACATTCAAAATAGCTCCTCTGAACTTGCAGGAAACTACAAAATGTCAGATTAACACCACAAAGCTCCACTTGTCTTTCCCATTCTTTTTTTACAAACAAGCAGCAGCTAAGGGTGCAATTTCATCTTGCCCTCAGTCCAATCTAACTAGGGATTGCTCCTGCAAGGAGCAGTCCGTGTCTCCTCCCCCTCTAAGGAAGGACTAGCTTACTGTCAGACCAGTAAACTGATCCAGCTGACCATGAGATTGCACAACCACTGGATGGCAGGGAAAGGGCAGAAATGTGCGCTGGCTGTGAGCTTTTCTGATCCTTCTTGACAGAGTTCATGAAGGTTAAAACACATCAAACACAGTTTGATAAAATCTTTGTCCGGGCCTCAATGCCTCGACTGAAAGGTGTGTAAATCATCCTCCAAATTGCTGTAAACTTAATCAACAGACTAAAAAGTTTAAAAATACTGAGTTCTTCAGTTTTCATCCACTTGAGTTTTGTAACAATGCCATTAAACTCCCTGATGGGACAAGACCAAAAGGCTTGATGGCCATACAACTTAAGCACCTACAAAAACCCCATCCCCAGAAATATTTCATGCATGAAATCAAGAATTTGAAGAAGGGGAAACACACACCAAAAGTGTACACTTGTACTCTTTCTACAGGTTGATTTTATTATTTTATTGTAATGCTGAGATATACTTAGAAAATTGAATAATATTCAGTCATCTGCTTCACTATACGAGTCACTCTTTCTTTGTTTAACTGGCCCAATTCAAATAAAGCCTTGTTTACATACTGCTTTTGATTTTGCTGGTATAGTGAAAAAGACAAGCCCTGATTGTGGGCATATTTCTATTCATATAAAGGTGCTTTTTACAGGCATACTATATTTTAGATGGGAAGACAAGCCAATTATACCCATAGAAGAATTGTGTATACCCATATAAGAATTATACCCACAACAGAACTGTGTTTACACTAAGGTTTCTATAAGAACACAGGAGATGCACTTAATCTGAAACATGCAGAACTAGTGTAAAAGCTGAGCCTAAAAAATTGCCAAGTGAGAAATTTATGATTCAGGGAACACAGCTATCTTCCACCCACTGAAGGGATCCAAAGGGCAGCATGAGAAGCTGAGAAGTCCTTGACTTAGTGTAAGCGCTGCTCAGCAACACCAAAAACATCAGTGTGTTAGCAACATTCTCCTCATCCTAAATCCAAAATGCAGCACTATGCCAGCTGTTAGGAAGAAAATTAACTCTATCCCAGCTGAAACCAGGACAAACTGCTATTGCTGTTTTCCACTGCAGACAATACTGCAAACTTTCTCTGTGAAGATGAATGTTTTCCATTTCTAATAGTTCAGCAGCAAGGAGAGACTCACTGGTATGAGGACAGGCATAAAATCAGATAAATTATATATTTGCTAGTGTGTGAAATTGATGTATTAATTTCTAACTAACCTCCACACATACAGAAGCAGAAATTTAGGGAGAAGAAAAGAAGAAATTCTATAATATTGTGCAGTCTGTCTATTTAGCCCTCCACTAGAGACAAATAATTAGCAGTTATCCTGACACAGACTAGAAATTCCCTTAGAAATTAGAAGCTACTTTTCACATTCAGATCATACCCATAGTTTCACCAATTGACATTCAAAATAGCTCCTCTGAACTTGCAGGAAACTACAAAATGTCAGATTAACACCACAAAGCTCCACTTGTCTTTCCCATTCTTTTTTTACAAACAAGCAGCAGCTAAGGGTGCAATTTCATCTTGCCCTCAGTCCAATCTAACTAGGGATTGCTCCTGCAAGGAGCAGTCCGTGTCTCCTCCCCCTCTAAGGAAGGACTAGCTTACTGTCAGACCAGTAAACTGATCCAGCTGACCATGAGATTGCACAACCACTGGATGGCAGGGAAAGGGCAGAAATGTGCGCTGGCTGTGAGCTTTTCTGATCCTTCTTGACAGAGTTCATGAAGGTTAAAACACATCAAACACAGTTTGATAAAATCTTTGTCCGGGCCTCAATGCCTCGACTGAAAGGTGTGTAAATCATCCTCCAAATTGCTGTAAACTTAATCAACAGACTAAAAAGTTTAAAAATACTGAGTTCTTCAGTTTTCATCCACTTGAGTTTTGTAACAATGCCATTAAACTCCCTGATGGGACAAGACCAAAAGGCTTGATGGCCATACAACTTAAGCACCTACAAAAACCCCATCCCCAGAAATATTTCATGCATGAAATCAAGAATTTGAAGAAGGGGAAACACACACCAAAAGTGTACACTTGTACTCTTTCTACAGGTTGATTTTATTATTTTATTGTAATGCTGAGATATACTTAGAAAATTGAATAATATTCAGTCATCTGCTTCACTATACGAGTCACTCTTTCTTTGTTTAACTGGCCCAATTCAAATAAAGCCTTGTTTACATACTGCTTTTGATTTTGCTGGTATAGTGAAAAAGACAAGCCCTGATTGTGGGCATATTTCTATTCATATAAAGGTGCTTTTTACAGGCATACTATATTTTAGATGGGAAGACAAGCCAATTATACCCATAGAAGAATTGTGTATACCCATATAAGAATTATACCCACAACAGAACTGTGTTTACACTAAGGTTTCTATAAGAACACAGGAGATGCACTTAATCTGAAACATGCAGAACTAGTGTAAAAGCTGAGCCTAAAAAATTGCCAAGTGAGAAATTTATGATTCAGGGAACACAGCTATCTTCCACCCACTGAAGGGATCCAAAGAAAATGCCATTCATAGAATCATAGAATCGCTTTGGTTGGAAAAGACCTTTGAGATCATCGAGTCCAACCTTTAACCTAACCCTGACATCCCACCACTAAACCATGTCCCTAAGCACCTCATCTATCCTTCTTTTAAATACCTCCAGGGATGGGGCCTTCACCACCTCCCTGGGCAGCCCATTCCAGAGCCTGACAACCCTTTCTGTGAAGAAGTTTTTCCTAACATCTAGCCTAAACCTGCCCTGGCGCAGCTTCAAACCATTCCCCCTCGCCCTATCATCTGTTACCAGGGAGAAGAGGCCGACCCCAACCTCACTACAGCCTCCTTTCAGGTAGTTGTAGAGGGCGATAAGGTCTCTCTTCAGCCTTCTCTTCTCCAGGCTGAACAACCCCAGTTCCCTCAGCCGTTCCTCGTAAGACTTGTGCTCCAGACCCCTCACCAGTTTTGTGGCTCTCCTCTGGACATGTTCCAGCAATGCAACATCTTTCTTGTAGTGAGGGGCCCAAAACTGAACACAGTATTCAAGGTGTGGCCTCACCAGCACCGAGTACAGGGGCACGATCACTTCCCTACTCCTGCTGGTCACACAATTCCTGATACAAGCCAGGATGCCATTGGCCTTCTTGGCCACCCGGGCACACTGCTGGCTCATATTCAGCCAGCTGTCAACCAGTACCCCCAGGTCTTTTTCCACCAGGCAGCTTTCCAGACACTCTTCCTCAAGCCTGTAGCGTTGCATGGGGTTGTTGTGACTGCATGGGATTGTTGTGACCATCATGTCCATTCAGCCATCATTAATTATGGGCAAGATACTGGGAAGATGATACTGTAAAAGGGGAAAGACAAGAGCAATTTTACATTAATTTTACATAAGAGATTTACAAGGTTTTGAATAGCACATGGAAGATTTTCAGCTTACTCGAAGTCCATGTGCATTTGGAGGTAGGCAACGTCTCACATACTTAAAAAAAAAAAATTAAAAATCCTCTACCATGAACAAGAACACTATGTATTTTTAATTTATTCCTCAAAAGTGTTGATGAGAAAGGAGCCGGTCCTATTCCTACTCAACTTCCAGGGAATTTGGCTATTGACTTCAACAGCTGAAGGAGTGCACTCATAGTTATGTCCTGGCACAAAATAAACTAATTCTTTTTGGTTGTGACGGGTACATCAAGTTGCAGCAGAGAGTGATTAGAAGTCACTGTGATTCTGCTGCTTTTCCTCTCATGTTTATTTTACTTTAAAAGTATTTTTGTGAGGCATATTTACTGTACCAAGTACACTATTTGCAAAGAATTCTCTGAAGATACAATTTTTTTCAGACCAGAATGCCAAATACTTCACCCCAAAGTAGCTCTAATGTTTTTTAGCTGGTGGGCACCCACCCTGCTGGGACTACTGGTACACTCCCTAGTTCCACTGCATTGTGCTGTCAGGCTTGGTGCTGGCCTATGCATGAACCACACAGTGCTGGAGA